GTGAAAAACTTTGTTTTTACGGGTTAATTTTTTGTGGTGTTGGGCCACACGCGAGCAGCACTTGCCCCAGCAGCCTGAAAAGGTTTATGTGGGGTGGGGGAGGGGGGGGGGGCATTTTGCATGTTATGTGGCTCAACGGTAGTGCGTCCTGGGCTTTTTGCAGAGCTTCACGGTTCGAATCCAGTGGCCACACTCATTAGTACAGCGGGTGTGGTGAGCGTAGTCATAATACTACACAACATCGGGGCAGTCCATAAATGACGTCACGCACCTGGGGGGGGGGGGTCAGACATGTGTGACGAGGGGTGGGGATTTGAGAAATGTGACGTCACGTCAAAATGCGCAACTTCAAATAAATAAATAAATATAGACAACACGTTCTACTTAATTGAATAGACTGTTTAATACATGTTTTCTCCGACAACATCAGAGTGCAGCGCCACATTAAATGCGCACTACAATGACAATAGTTTAAAAAGCGATTTGAAACATGTTTTAATTTTGAGGGGGCTGGGGGGCAGAGCTTTGTGATGTCATATTTGAGGGGGGTCTGACTTTTTGTGACGCCGTGTGATGAAGGGGGGGGGGGGCAAAAATCGTCCAAAATCGCGCCGTCTGCTTCACTCACAGCGCACGTGACAGATCCTGCGATGGTATTCGCAAGCGTGGAGGCCCTCGCTTCGTGCCCGCATCGCGGCCCAAATTTTCCAAAGTCGAAAACGACGCAACCAAATTACTCAACTGGGATTACGCAGCAGCAGTAGCAACAGCATTAGCAGCAGCAGTAGCAGCAGTACCAACAGCAGTAGCAGCAGTAGCAGCAGCAGCAGTAGCAACAGCAGCAGCAGCAGTAGCAACAGCAGTAGCAGCAGCAGCAGTAGCAGCAGCAGCAGTAGCAACAGCAGTAGCAGCAGTAGCAACAGCAGTAGCAGCAGTAGCAGCAGCAATAGCAACAGCAGTAGCAGCAGTAGTAGCAGCAGCTGCAATCATCGGCATCGTTGTTCGTGTCTTAAGTGTGACTCCATCTCAACACGACGATGCACAGAAACGGAGGGCACGTGAACTTTTACGGAGAGACGGGAGGCAGTCGGCCATAGACGGGAGGGAATTTAAGGAAACATAATTGATCCCGGGCTTGTTGAGCGGTCACGCGGAGTTGCGACAGCACGGGCAGCTGGGGGAGAAGGGAGTTCCTCTAGGCTGCGTGGACAGCGGAGGAGAATAAGCATTGGGTGAAGGTTGACTGAGATTGAAGAGAAAGCCCTGATTGGGTGGCCTGCGCTTTACGCATGGTACATGCAACTCGACACGCAGTTGGCAATCCGAGTCGTCTTCCTCCTGTTACAATGGATTATCAGGATTTCTGGCGGACGTACAATTCAACCATTTAGTTATTTATTTTGCGGCCCTGTTTGTTTTTCGTCCGCATCATTTCCCGCCTCGTTTTCTACTGCCACGTCCCACCGCGTCACCGTCAACGTTCCACGAGCGTATGATTGTTTTCGAATGATCGCAAGCTTTTGCTCCTGCACGCACGCGATCCGACGCTTCGCACCACAAGATATTTATACCGATGAACCGTTTCGTTTTGAGCTTTGTTGAGCCAGTTGGACAGGATTGGGCAAAGGCCTAACATTAAAACTAACAATAACATGTTTAAGAATCACAATGAATAGACCAACAGTGTATATATATATTTCTTGACTTAAAGCTTTCGTGACTGCAGGAATTCATATTCTTTGGGTAATTCGGTAAAGCCACGTAGATAGAAGAATAATAAAAAATAAAAACATCACGACGTTTCGATCGCAACATAAGCAATCGTCATCAGGTGAACAAATATAGCAGGAGAGCTGCTATGTCATTAAAAACATTTTAAATTTAGTGCGATCGAAACGTCGTGATATATTTTTATTTATTATTTTTCTATCTACGTGGCTTTTTAGAAAGACTTTTAAAAAGAATAATAATAAATAAACTTCAAATCTCATTTATGGGCCTCAAACGATCCAGGACACTGTGGTGTAATATACTTTTGACACATGATGATCCCAAGGTCAAAGTGATTTCCGGCTCGAATGAGCATTTGGGCGAGGAATTGCTGCTCACCTTCCCGTTTACATCCCTGAGCCGGTGGTGGAAATTCGACATTACTATGACGGGGGGAGAGGTCTACCCATAGGACAACTGCTGCCGACTTCGCCGCAAAGTGGCACTCGTATGCATCAACCCTGAAGGCGGCGGATAATGGGCTGAGTAAAACCCTCTCCCCGCCCCCCCAACCTTCCGTTTGCGAGCCGGTTCCTCTTCCCGCTGAGCCGGCTTCGCACCGCACAACGACGTCCGTCCCAACTCGGCGCATTTAATTCAAACGCTTCCACGCGGGCGTCGGGCTGCTCGCTCCGTTCACCCGGGAGCTGATCCCTACAAAGCCCCCCTACCCCCCCCCCACCCCTCCCGCCGCACGGCACCGTCGATCAAAGCGACCCCGAGGCCTCTCCGCGTCTCGGCGGCGTTCCGAGCGGCGCATTATCTGTCAAGGTGGGGTGAGTGGGGGAGTGGGGGGGTGGGGGGGGGGTCTCACGTGTCGCTGCCTCTTGCACGACAGCCGGGGCCACCAGGGAGTGGTGTGGAGCAGGGGGGGGGGGGGTCGTGACCCCGCGGCTCCGCACTCCGTAGTGAGAATATCGGGGGGGGGGGGGAGAAGTGATGGCCCTGAGACGATGGCCACACGGAGTCGTCCACCGCTGTCACGACCACGGCGCTGACCTCGTGCCTCTTACCTCCTCAGCCAGCCGATGACCTGGCCAGTACGCTGGCCGCTCTACTCGCACACAAACCCTGCCCCTAACCCTTCACATGGTGCTTTTTCTGCAATATTTTGCTGTCTTTTCTTGGATTCTCTTTTTGCACTCAGTCACATATTCACTTTAAGATGTTTTCTTGTTCGTGTTTTTGTTTTTTGTTTGTTGCGGTTGCACCCGATTCAAGAGCCGAATGGCTCACAGGGCTATATCTAATAAATGAACTTGAAACTTGACCTTGAAACTAGTACACTGGTCCTGACCTGCCTTGACCCTAACCCAGCCCATGAATCGTTCAACTAGGCTCGAGTTCAGCCGTAAACTGAACCAACCCTAGGACCGAGCTATTGCCTCGTCCTTCCCATAACCATGACAGCTTAAGGGGGGGGGGGGCATTTACTCTCAAAGGCCCTCCACAGATGGCTTTAAGAACCCACTTGCGGGCCAGCGGGAGAGAGAAGAGTGCACGATTAGTGGCAGGCAAGTAGAGATGTACTTCCTCCTGCACCCTCTGCGAGGTGTTACGATGCGGGGGGTGTCGTCACGAGTTAACTCGCGAACGTTTCGCATCACGCCGGCTCCCGCGTGCTCCGTCCCCCGTCGGGATCCGTCTTCGTTCGCTCCGTTAGGTTACAACATTCGGCGCAACGCGAGCGAGCTCGTCGATTGCATGCAGTTTGTGAAAGAGGTGAATGGTCTCCATCCCCTGCGTGGATGACGTGCGATGCGTGAGCGTTGGGGACCGATCTCGATCGATGTCTCGCGGGAGCGCTGCCTGGATGGGTGGTGGGGGGGTGCGGGGTACGGGCCATTGGGGTCGGTGCGGTGGTTGGCGAGCTCACGCCAAGTCGAGACGACGACGACGACCGTGAGTGGTTGTCAACACGACGCGTATTCCCGGTCAGTTTTGTGTACAAAGGAGAAAACAAAAACTCATTTCGTTGAAACCATCCGTGCGGACCTTTTGAATTCTATAACCTCGTATCGGTACGTTTGCTAAGCTTCCTCGGATATGGAGCCAAATTCCCACTGACGATGAATTTTGCCAAACATTCCAATGCCGCAGGGCAGGACCCTCCTGCCTGAGACTCGGCGAGGCTTTCCCTGGTAAATAAATGACATCCGAGTGTTTATTTATTATTTGTACGACGAATAATCTTGGGATGCTGTGTGTGAGTGTGAGTCGCTTGGAAATAATTGGTGCCATTAATGTCCCGGCTGTCAAGGTCCCGGAGAGTGTGCAGGGATGAGTGTGTGTGTGTGTTAAGGCATCGTGCAAACACGTACACACAATCCAAAGATCCCCCGTGTAGCCCACATAGGCTGCTGGAGCAAGTGCCGTTAGCGAGCGCCTACGAAGGCTGGCACGGCACACGAGGGCGTGGGGTCGTCAACACCGTACCCGGCCGCCTTTGTCTCCCCAGTGGCGATGTTGTTTACACATCGCACCAGCCACTCATTCGAAGCCGAGTTGACCGAGGGTAGGCCTAGCATCGGTTCAGCTATTTGCTCGTCACTGTTTGTTGGTCGTGAGCGGGAATCGAATTCGAGTCGCCGGGTTCGTAGCGCGGTGCGGTAGCCACGACGCTACCGCCCCTCCCAGTTATCTCACAGGCAGACGCACACACACACACGCACACATAAACAGACAAACTCTCACCGTCACCCATTCTATCTGTGTGTTGTCTCTCCCCTGCTCTGTGCACTCCTCCCCTCTTTATCTCTCTGCACGTCTCTATGACCCCACATCTCTCCCTACTTATTTTTATCATCTCTCTCGCCTCTCTCCCACCTGTGTGTTTCATCTCGCTTCCCACCTCTCCACGACCCTGCATCCTCTCCCTCTGCTTTCAACCGTTCCCCACTTTATATTCCCCCCGTCTCCTTCTCATCTCTCTACCTCATTTATATCTACCCCTTTCTCTCTCTCTCTCTGTCTCCCTCTCCGATCTCCATCTGTCACTCCCCTCTCGTCATCTTTCCCACTACCCATCCATATCTTGTCCCTGCCTCTCTCATTTCCCTCTCTCCCGTGTCGCTTTACCCCCCCTTTGGTTTCTGTCGCATCCCACACTCCCCCCCCCCTACCGCTCCCCCCCCCTACCGCCCCCCCCCCACCACTCCCCCCCCCCACCACTCCCCCCCCCTACCGCCCCCCCCCTACCGCTCCCCCCCCTCCCCGCTCCGTGCCTGCAGACAGACCTGAGCTACGTGAACACGGTGGTGGAGCAGCTCAAGAAAGGGTAAGGATGCGTGACGGGGTCCACTGGGCCGGCGTGGCACGGACCTCGGCATTGGCGCGTTCGCCGCTTTTTGCCAGAGCTTCCCGGTTCAAACCTAACAGCCGCGCTGGTTATTTACTGTGGCGGGGGGGGGGGGGGTGGTGTATTGACCGCTAGGAATACTAGGAGCCGTCTGTTTTCACAGCAGATGTCAAAGTTCACATGGCGTCGTTCCGCAGGAGGAGTCTGCCATGGTGTGCCGGCGGATAAGGTCCAAAATTCGCCAGATTTGGAAAATGACACCGCCAAGTGACTCTGCCTGGATTATACAGAGCAAGTAGCGTCCCCTTCTGCGGAAACGTGGCAGGATGCGCCAGATAGAAAAACGAGTCGTGAGACTCGGGTGAGGCTTTCCTGGGTTAAAAGGGCATAATCCTCGATGGTTGGGAGTAGAGTTGCCCAAACCCACACCAGATGAAGCCAGGCATGGACCGCACTCAACACTTAAAAAAAAAAACACTTTTTCAAATCCTCCGTAAAAAAAAGAACTCAGGTTTTTAAACCGCGCGTTCTCGCTCCTTCTTTTGGTCATTTTTATTAGGCCACTTTATTCCGACGGTACGATCGCTGTCGACTCGCCTCGAGGTGATGAATCCATTCGGAAATTTCACGGAGCAGTTCGTCGCCACTCCCCTGAGGACTTCTGCCGAGAGAGATTAGAGAGTGGCGCGGTGCGGGAGAGAGACGGGGGAGCGAGAGAGTCGCCGAGTAGGCAGCGATTAGAGAGAGCCAGGTGTGGCGAGGAGGGGAGAGAGGATGAGCGGGAGAGATGCAGGCAGGGGAGAGCGCGAAGGCAGCGTGCAGGCAGAGAAGAGCGAGCGAGGCGGGGAGCGAGAGGAGCGGAGAGCCGAACAGCTTTCTCATGTCGCCGGTGGGACGCCAGCCTCCTCCTTCGCGGAGCCCACAGACCGCGACTCGGAGTTAATTTGATCGTTTAAACCCCCCCGCACTCGCAAGCAGCGGCACTTAAAACAATCGGCATCGCTCCGCGGGGAGAATTAACGGCAGGCACAGGCAGATGGGTTGCGGTTTGGCGGTTGTGGTGATCCTCGTGGTGGCAAGAGGAGGAAGAGGAGGTTGAATAGGAGGAGGAGGAAGGGGGGATGATTTGGAGGGGGAGGAATAGGAGAGGGGGAATCGGAGGGGGAGGAAAAGGAGGGGGAGGAATGGGAGGACTGGGAATGGGAGGAATGGGAAGAATGGGAGGAGTAGAAGGGATATGAGGTAGGAGGGGGAGGGATAGGGGGAGTTGAGAAGCTGATTTGTCTCAACGCAATATGAGGACAAGAGGACATGGGGGAAGAGAACCACGGAGAGACATCGACACATGGACAGATACGGAGACGTGGAGAGCATCGGGGAGAGAGACTTTGAGAGAGGCATGGAGAGAAAGACAGAGAAAGACAGAGAAACATGGAGATATGGATATGGAGAGAGAGAGAGACAGACACATGGAGGAGCTCTTGTAAAGACGCGGGGGGGGGGGGGGGGCCTTCGCACACGGGAGCGGCAGGAGAAGGCGGCGACGGGCAGAGAGGCAACGGGGAGGGAAGAGGTAGCAGTGCGTTTCAAATTTCAACAATCGGATTTCAGAAGCCATTTGCGCCGTGCGATAATTAAACGCGTCTTCGTGCTAACGACAGTGACGTCGACTCGTCCCAAACGACACGAATTGTTGGCCCGAAAAGCACAGTGGCGGTGCGGTACGTGACACCACCACTCCGAAGCCAAACGGCTGCAGCAGCAACAGCAACAACAACAAATATTGGATCTCTCAAATTTCCCACACACTTGCAGCAGCAACAGCAACAACAACAAACATTGGATCTCTCAAATTTCCCACACACACCAAGGCCATAATTATAATAACAATTGGGGGGGGGGACACATCCCCTCCCCAATATTCAAATATGCTCAATGTGCCTCCCAATATATTGCTATAAAATAGATTTCTGTTTATATGATTGTGGTTATGGTTGTACTTTATAAATCCCTAATCCTCTGCCATTACATACAATGAAACACGAAAAATAAAGAAAGAAAAATAACAGAGCAATGTAATACAATACACTATTAGACATTTTTGTAAAACATAAATAAAAAGTCCAACCTATGTGTTAGTGAATTTTTTTTATATTTCAGGCAGGAAATTCTTTTTAAAATTTCGATTTTTTTTTCTGGGGGGGGGGGGGGGCCCAGATCCCCTGGAAGATTTGATCCCCCCTAGTGTTGACTCCATAGCTACGGCCTTGAAACACACACGCACTCACCTCGGGTCGGCCACGATTTTTTTTTTCGGACGAATCTGAAAAAATAGTTGGACCTCGGCTAGATTCCCCGTCTCTCCCTCGCTCACGCGGGCCTCGCTTGGATCGCCCTGCCTGCCGTGCCAAATGAGATGCACTCGATTAGACAACGGTAAACTCATACACTTAGCGAATGCTTCATTAATTTTAATGTTCGCTTGAAGAGGGGGAAAAAAGTGTCTAATCTTTTTTTTATCGGCGGTTTGGCGAGAACGCGACACAACCTTTGAATGTAGACGGGCGAGCGTCTCGGGTGCGTCGTGTGTGCGTGGTGCGTGTGGCCTGTGTCGTCTGTACGTCTTGTGTGTGTGCTTCGTGTGTGTGTGTGTGACTTGTGTCGTGTACGTCTTGTGTGTGTGTGCTTCGTGTGTGCGTGTATGTATGGTTCGCGTGTGTGTGTATGGTTCGCGTGTGTGTGTATGTATGTATGTATGGTTCGCGTGTGTGTGTGTTTTGTGCGTGTACAATTCGCGTGCGTGCGTGTGTGTGCGCCCGTCTGTCACGTGCAACGCGCGCGCCTGAGAGTTTGCCGTCATCCGCATGAAACTCGTCCTGTTGGCGAATTTGACTTTTAAATGGAATGGCCCGGCGACCCGAACGCAACGAAACAACGGAATTGCAAATTCAGCGAGCCGCCGACGAGATGCGAGCACCTGGTGCTCCCCCACGGCCTTCGTCGTCGTAGTCGTCGCAGACTTCTATGAGATGTAGCCGCGTGTAGGAGCTTCATCTTATCTTGTACAGATTCACAAAGCGCCTCTTAGTCCTCGGCGCTTCACGGTAATTATACAATTGTGCGTACGATGATGGTGGTTTAAAATAAAGAGTGGGGTTATTCCAAGTGGTGGTGTAGATATGGTGACAGTTTAGGAGGGCAGGTTGGAGCGGTTAAGAAGGAGTTGGGGTGGGGGGGTAGTGATGGGGGGGTAGCGATGGGGGTAGCGATGCGGGTAGGGGTAGTCCTGGTTCTAGCTCCACCCCAATGATTGAGAGCGAAGGTTACGAGAGACGCGCGCCTCCTTGGTAGCTCAGCCTCGGGATGTCGCGCTCCGGGTTTCTCCTCGACGACGCGAGATCCATCCCAGCGCCCGCGCCGCCCTTGGAGAGAGGGGGACATGGCTTCCCTCTCCCCCGCGAATCGTTGTGGTTCCAAGTTTGTGATTTTATTCAAGGGTTGTTGTTTTTTCCGTGAACATCGGGGGTGAACCGTAGCGGGGGGGTCACGCAAACCCATTACAAAGTATATAATGAAATAAAAAAATAATTGATTCATTACATAGGTCATTTGGCGCACGTATCACGATGCTAAGACTCAAAGTTAATCCATATTAATCAATGCATCGTTACATCCCTAAGCATAATTGTCATCAGCGCTAGCAAGAACATTATGATTACCATCGGCTGCAGTGCCGCCAATATTAAATCGTCGTCTCCATTCGTGGTGGTGAAAATCGGCAAAACCTGGTGGGGCTGCCACCAAATTGAGCACGTGGAACTTGCCAGCGGTTGTCTTGGCAACACACTGGTCGCCTGCCATAGGAACGTGTCATTTCCACCGCGAGCTCTATTGTAGTCCTACACCGCAGGCAGACGGAGCAGCGCGCCCGGAGCTTGCTCGTTAGGATACGGGGACACGGTGACCTTCGGTGACCTTGTTGTTGTGGTCCTACAAACGAAGGTAATGAACTGAGCCCAGAGCCCCATCCTGTGCTCTGCCTAATTAATGAAAGCGCCGTGATTAATCGGAGCCTCTCGCAGAGGTGGCCAGGCAGCTCGGGAAAGGGTTGGGCGGTGGGGGGACTAATACCGGTGTCGGGAAACGCCGATCCGGCACCACGAAGAGCCCTGGGTTCACATCCGGGTTCCAGCCGCCCAACTAGGTTTCTCAAGCGTTGCGAGTTGATGGTGTCAGCACGGTTCACCAGGGACTCGCACAGAGACAAGCATAGAAAAAAACAGACGACAGATCACGGCAAAATAGTAATATATCTAAAAAAAAAACACAAATAAAAAAAAATCTCGGAATCTGGAGGAATCCGATTGAGCTTATGAAGCTCTTTTTTTTACTGATGTTCCAGATGTCCATCTATATTTGGTGTCACATTCAGGTTCCAGCACGAGCTGGACACGGGCCTTCTGGAGGTCATCAGCCCTCCCGTCGGCTACTACCCCGACATGGGCAGCCTCAAGCAGACGTTTGGAGACTCGCTGGAGAGAGTCAGGTTGGTCTGCACCGCCCGTCCCAGGGCTACAGACTCGCAGCAACAACGATGGCAACTTGTAATTCCATCGCGGTCTAAACAGGGACTTAATTCCTTACAGCCAGGGGCTGCCAGGGGCAACGTCAATGTGTCCCAGGGCAGTAGCGGAGAGAGTGGAGGCACGCTAGCCAACAAAGAACTCCAACGGCTCCTCTCTCTAACCATTGGTCTTACCCAACCTGGCATTCCAGGACCCTGGCAGTACCCCCTAACCCAGCCACCTGGCGGATTTGTTACCCAAATCAACAACAACCGTGCCACCACCACCACCAGCAACCCCCAATAACAACAACCCCACCAACAAATATACGCTCCAAGCCTGGGGTGTTTCATTCAGACGCTGTCTTCCCGACAGACCTGTTCTTCACCTGAGGACGGCTGCTTGCGTTGTGGCCGATACGTCGTGAGAATTATTTTATTATGTTTTATTATTATTATTTTATTATTTCCCTTCTACGTGACTTTACCGAAAGAACCAAGAAGAACAACCCCACCACCACCACCACCACGATAGTGGGTTTGTACAGCGGTCCAGGTGAAGACGTGTGGTGTTGCTGCTGGTGGTTATCGTAGAGATGCGGTTGGTGGATTGTGGAGAGATGGGCACATGCCGCTGGAGATCAGCTTGAGACCTCGTGCCGTCTCCCCCCTCAGGTGGAGAACCAAGCAGAACCTCGACTTCTCCTTCCTCATGCTCCACGCGCAGCCCCGCGGGAGATTTTTCGTACAGGTGAGCACACGGCCTGCTCTAAGCTCTGTTAGCGGGCACCTATTAATGTCGGCGGAGCACGTTAGATGTGGTGGCGGTGGTGGTGGCCGCGGTGGCGCGGTGGTTAGCGCCCCGCGCTATGAGCCCGGTGACCAGAGTTCGATTCGCGCTCACGGCCAACACCCAGTGACGATTGTCTGAACTGGTCCTGGGCCTCCCCTAGATCGACTCGGCCTCAAATTTATATCTGGTGCGGTGCGTCGATCTCGCCACTCAGGAGACAAAGGAGGCCGGGTGTGGTGCTGGCCACCCCCACCCCCAACGCGTGCCGCCACGCCAGCCTTCGTTAGGTGCTCACTGACCGCACTTGCCCCAGCAGTCTGTTAAGGCTACACGTGGTGGGGGTGGGGTGGGGGAATCTTTGTGTTTGATGGAACCATGCAGGCCAGATATTCCTGGGCATATTGCCACACGAGGGATGGATTCCGAAACTTTTCAAAGTTCGGATGTCAAACATTTAGGGACAATTTGAGATCTATTCCAGATATGCAGGGCCATCTGCAGTACCCCCCTGCAGCCTTACGGCCCCAGGTGTTGAGAGCTACAGGGGAACGTCTGGGGACTCGCTTGGGAGAGTCGGCAGGGATTTATCGAAGTAAATGAATAAGCATCTTCAGGCGATTTAGCCCCCGCCGTCCTACCCATCCACGTTTATCTGGATGCGACACATTTTTTGTTTTAACGTGCGTTCGTCCTCGCCGAAGTGTCACTTTCCGTGACGTCGCACCTTTCGGACGGATGGCGATGGTGTGAGGGAGCCTTCGTCCAGCCGTGTGGGTAGGCCATGGATGACGACGATGATGCTGCCGATGCTGATGATGTTGTTGTATGTTACGAGCAACTGTTGTACCCATGGTTTCACCATGGGAAGGGGAGTCGAGTCAAGGATGTAGTGCAAAACTACAAAGGAGTTCGTATTGGAAGACAGTGATTGAAAAGTGGGAAATAAGAGGGAAAGGATGTAAAAGGAACAGAGAAACGGGAACGGAGAGGGTGGGGATGGATGAGGATGGGGACGAAGAGGTGGCGACATCAGAGGCCCGACACTGCTACACGGAGTCGTCTGTTTTCACAGGGGGCCGTGGAAGGGGGTGGGGATGGGATTAAGAAGAGGGGAGGGATTACGAAGGGGGGGGGGGGGGGGGGAGCACACAGAAGTCACGTGATCTACGGGATGCTTGAGCTGATTATATAGACGGGTTCGCATCACCCCTGCAGCCACCAGGGGTGCTACAAGTGACCACAGCGGCCAAACTCCACAACAACAACGACACCGCCGTGAGCATAAAATAATAAACAGCAGCGACCGCGACTGCCAGCACGTGCTCCCAAGACAAGTTGTATTGTAGTATGTGTTTGTTGTTGTTGTTGTTTCTGTGAGTGCACGTGGTATTGTGTTTGGAAACCGGTCTCTGTTGGGTTCCTCTGGGTAGGAGCGCCTGGCCACTTGCAGGGAAGAAATTAGGAGGGGGGTTGGTGGTCCTGGAGGGGAAGGGGTGCAGGTGTGTGGGGTGGGGGCGGTGATAGTGGTTGTCAAGGGGTAGGGGTGGTGGAGGGGAGTGGGTGGCGGTGCAGAGGAGAGGGTGGTGGTGGAGGAAGGAGGGGGTAGCGGTAGAGGAGGGGTGGGTGGTGTTTTGAAGAACCAACCAATATTTGAGATACATTTCTCATGGAATCCTTTCCATGGCTTCACCACCCCCAAGACCTCCTCCTACCCCCCCAAAAAAATGGGGAGGAATTTATCCAGATTTCACCTCTGGGTAGCTCCAGTAGCGATTCTAATGCCAAATGAGGATGCTACCGTTTGTATCACAATATAATGGTGTCAGTGCTGCTGGTAATGATGACGATGATGATAAGAAAACGAATACTACCGGTGCTGGTGGTTGCTGCTGCTTCTTCTGACGATCCCGACAACGACAGTCATGATGATAATGATCGTGACATTTGTGATGATGATCATGATGGCGACGATGAGGATGATGACTGCATTTTTTATTATTACTATTAACCTGTGTCCTGCCAAGATTTCCCAGTAAGTGGCGATGTTGCTGCTGCTGTTGCCATGTGTGATCCCAATGACCGTAACCCTATCCCATTCCTGACGTACATGTACGTCATCAGGTCATCAGTAACCGGAAGAAAATTTAAATAGATTAACGTTATTGCTACCGAGGCTCCCACAAGGCCATGCTGAAGGGCGTGTGGCACGCTTTGACGCCAGCTATCGTAAAGTGCGGTCGCGTCGCTAGAGTTGCCTGCGGTGAGTAACAACGTCTTTTAAAAACAACGGGCGCTACGACGCTCTAATAAAATGTAACGCCGAGCCGCTTGTGCGTTCCGAGATTCAGCGGTGAACGGGGACACCCAATTTAACACGTAGCAGGCTTTCGCGACCAATATTATTGATAATATAGGTTTTTGGGTCAGATCGCGTTATTTATAAATGTGTCATAACCCTTCACCACCCGACACGGCCAAACAGTTAAAAATGTGTTACGTTTTCAAAGGACAAATTAATTGACTTCTTTAGCCCACCGGTGTGCTGAAGAGAGAATCAACAGAAGAGAGATTCAACACCCACCCTGCAAACTTGCAGCCGTCTCGGGACGGGAAAGGGCTAATGAACGACTTAGCGAATCGTGGTGGTGATGATGCTGATGATGATGGCGTGGGCATCTTCTTGACGACACCCTTGCAGCTGGAGGATGACATCGTGGCGAGGCCCAACTACCTGACGACCATGAAGAACTTTGCAGAGCAGCAGCCGTCCGACGAGTGGATCATCCTCGAGTTCTCGCAGCTGGGCTTCATCGGTGAGACATCTCGCTCGTCGCTCGTCGCACGGGTGCTGCTGATGATGATGGCGCTCGGAGAGATTGAGAGCGATCGCGGAGTTTTTTTGTTGTTGCGTCAAATGCAGCGGCTGGCGGCTGACGGGACTGCACATTATAATTTGACGTTTATGCGATGTAGCAGACTGAGTGGGGTTTATTTATTCATCAGTGGATTTGTCTGTTCCTCTGATGAAGGGAAATTGCCCAAAATGTTGTCATGTTCCATTGTAAGGCAGCCGTAATGATGATTGTGATAACCTTTTTGATTATTCTTTTCTCCACAAATTTACATTTGAATAGCCGTGTGCCACTTCTGGGTTGGAGTTCTTGGCGCACACTGTGAAGGTTGCGAGTTCACATCTCAGTGAAGGGCCATCATCATCATCAACTCGACTTGCCATATAATCGTCAGGAGAATAAAACAAGTACAACGGTGGTGGTGATGGGGGGGGGGGGGTAGTGTGGGGAGTGGTGGTGAAGTGGTTAACGCACTGCTACAAACACGGCCACCCGAGTTCTGGGTCCTGCATTAGGTCGGCTCAGCCTTAAATGAGTACCTGGTGCGCTACGTTAACATCGCCACCGGGGAGACAAAGGCGGCCTGGCGTGGTGCTTGTCCGGCCCACTCACTGGAGTTTCATGACCTGCCTTCAACGGTGCCGCTCGCTTGTGGCACTTGCCGCAACAACCCGTGAAGGCTACACGGGGGATCCTTTGTCCCCGTCTCTCACTGTGAACGCACCGCCCCTAGGCAATCTCGCCACATGTCAAGGCGCAGCAGCGACCACTGCCTCTCTCCCCACCACGCGCCCCCCCCCCCCCCCCCCGTGCCAGAGACGAGGCATGCTGGGCGGATGGTGAGAAACGAATGGCCCCAAAAAATAAAACTTCTAATCGAACGGCAGCCATGAACACGGCACGGCGCCTCCCCCCCACTTCCCCCGGGTGTTCTGTAAACGGCGGCGGCGACGGTGACGGCGGCGACGGCGGAGGTGCCAAGAACTTCACTCGGCGATCACGGCAACGATGAAATAAACGCGCGGAAATCAAACGCTGTTCACGGCCACACGGGCCTTAGAGAGTCGAGCGGGGAAATGGCACGGTCGCAGATGATGAAACGGTCGCTATTTTTCAATGTAATTCACGTACAATTACATTTTTACAACGATCGACATTTGAGTTTTTTTTTTATTTGGCTCGCGCGAGCATTCACGCCGAGCCACAGAGGGCAGCAGCGCCGCCGCTTAAACAACAACACGGGAGATTGCGTTTAAAAATACTGCGACTACTGCGACTACGACTAGTGACTACGACTAGTGACAACGAGAACGGCTCGGATGACGAGTACGACTGGTACGTCTCCTACTCTCCGAATATGTCCAAGAGATCCCCGGCGGGTTTAGAGCGGCGATTCTCAACGCCACTCCGTGAGCTCTGAAACTCCGCGAGAGTTTCATGTCATCGTCGTTGTTTTTGTTGTTGTATATACAGTATCCCACAATACTGTATACCCACCCGAATGCCTGGAAAAAACCTGCGACGCTCCCGAATAATCCGCATAAATCGGTCAGCAATGAGCATGCTCTGCTGTCCCCCACCACTTTACCCTCCCTCCCCCCACTCCACCCTCCAGGTAAGTTGTTCAAGGCGTCGGACCTGAACCCGATCGTGGAGTTTTTCCTGATGTTCCACAAGGACAAGCCCATCGATTGGCTGCTCGATCACTTCCTGTGGGTCAAGACCTGCAACCCAGAGAAGGACGCGGTGAGACGGACGGACGGACGGACGGGGACAAATGGATGGATGGACAGAGAAAAGAGGCCAGACAGATGGGTAGACACAGGCGGAGAGAGACGAACGGACAGATGAACAGGCAGCGAGATTGACGGTCGAGACGGTTTGGTGGGCAAAACAGATCGACAGATGGACAAATCAACAAATGGGCAGCGAAACATTTGGACACACAGGTGACTGGATGGACAGGTGGACAGGCAGACATTCAGACGCACAGACGGCTCACGAAATGCTTGCCGAACCTCAACATCCCTGATGAGGATTGCCCTGCCTTGGGATATTTTTCCAACTCCTAAACACATTCTTTTTTTTGGGGGGGGGGGGGGGGGCAGCGGGGGAGTAACACAACACTACATTACCCCCGATAAAACACAAAACGCAAAGGGGAGATAACATTTAGAAATAAATCCACCAAGATTGGGTAACGACACGCGCTTTCTGTACTGCCGCGTTTGGCGGGCGGGCGGGCGAGGAATGTCCTCCTCGGACTTCATTAATCGAGGAGCCCAGCGGCAGCCAGTCGCCTTTGTGCTCTCTCCCCGCCATAATTCACGCCGTTATCTCGCCGCGACGGCGATGAAATTACAATTTGCGCCGTTTTAGCGATGTGTCCCCATCTTTACGATTCCTACACACTGCCCCCCCACCGCCCCGCCTCTCTCTCTCGGTCGCTTCGTCTGCAGACGGATCAGGGGCCCTCGCCACCACGTTGTGCGACGGCAATTGACGAGCGGCGGTCGCTGCTATCGTGGTCATTGTACTCTTTCCCGCCCCTCCCCACCCGCTCTCTGAGAGCGCACATCTCCTATAATAATAATAACAACAACAATAATGTTATTGTTGTTGTTGTTACAATAATAATATAACAATAGATGTAATCGTGATTGGCGGCACTTCCTTGTCAGTCGACCGCTCAATTAAAATAAACCGCCATCCCAAGCTGCGTCAGCGGTGCGGGTTGTTCGACCATACTTCATCACGTTCGGCCAGTGCGAATTGTCGAAGCTGTAGTCCGAAAGGGAATCAGAATATTTACTTAGACTGGAGGAATCCGATGAGCAACAAAGCTCTTTTTCACAGATGGCCGTGGCCAGGTTGCACCGTCGCTCTCCCCGCCCGACTGCGTGTCCCGTGCCCATCGGCGCGCTCGTGGCTTTGAGCATAGAATGACCGCGGCAGTGACGGGGATCGAACCCGGGGTCCTCCCAGCTGACCGGCTGGGGAGATTTAGCCGTTGCGATCGTTGGCTCTGCCCTCGCTCCTCCTCCGGCCCCCAACAGAAACACTGCGAGCGGCAGAAGGCGAATCTCCGCGTCCGCTTCAAGCCGTCGCTGTTCCAGCACGTGGGTACCCACTCCTCGCTGTCAGGCAAGATCCAGAAGCTCAAGGTGTGTGTGTGCGAGTGGGTGCGGGTGTGTATGGGTGGTGGGTGTGTGTGCACGTACGAGTGGGTGTGGGTGTGTATGGTGGTGTGTGTGTGTGTGTGCGTACAAGTGGGTGCGGGTGTGTATGGGTGGTGGGTGTGTATGCGCGTACGAGTGGGTGTGGGTGTGTATGGTGGTGTGTGTGTGTGGGGGAGCGTGGATATGTGGCTGTGCGGTTGTGTACGGGTTGGATGTGGGTGAGGGTGTACGTGTGCGAGTCCGTGTGTGCGGGGAGTGGTTGTGTAGCGAGTGTGCGGGGAGCGGTTAGCGCGCTGTGCTACGAACACAGCTTCCCGGGTTCAATTCCCACTCACGGGCAACTTCGGAGACAAACATCCGTTGGCCGTGAGTGGGAATCGAACCCGGGTCGCCGGTTTCTGTAGCGCTAACCGCCACGCCACCTCTCCTCCCCGTGCTCAAACGAAATGCACGCACACACACACACGCACGCACGCAGGATCGCGACTTTGGGAAGCAGCCGCTGCACAAGGCGCACCCGAACCCGGCGGCGGAGGTGAGCACGAGCCTCAAGATGTACCAGCAGTACACGCTGGAGAAGGTCTACCTGGGACAGGACTTCTTCTGGGCCTTCACGCCCGTCGCCGGCGACTTCATCCTCTTCCGCTTCCACGAGCCCATCCGCGTTGAGAGGTGCCGCTCGCTCTCTCGCCTCCCACCACCCCACCCCTGTCCCGCCCCACTGCAAAAGCACGCGGCCAAACCGTTGTAAGCAGCACCTGGCCACACCATTGTAAACAACTCGCGGCCACACCTTTATTAACATTATCACGGCCACACCTTTATTAACATTATCACGGCCACACCTTCATTAACATTATCACGGCCACACCTTTATTAACATCATCACGGCCACACCTTCATTAACATTATCACGGCCACACCTTCATTAACATTATCACGGCCACACCTTCATTAACATCATCACTGCCACACCTTCATTAACATTATCACGGCCACACCTTTGTCAACAATATCACGGACACACCTTTATTAACATTATCACGGACACACCTTCATTAACATTATCACGGCCACACCTTGGCAAAGAGCACATAATACATCCGCGCTGAGAACGGTGCATCAATGTACCATGCACTGATCAACATGCAACACGCAGCACACACGCTGTGCACACGCGGCGCGTCAATACTCGCACAGTCTTACGTAAGTCCCAATACAAAATGCATCGGCATGTTGCTGTTCATTATTATTAAGCTCCGTTTTCAAACCGCACGAGAAGAAACAAGCAAACTCGCCCCCCCTGAAATTTCGAGACATTGTATTGACCGTTAAGGATAGTAAAAGTGGTGGCTCAGGTGGGGAGGGGGGGGGGCGCGCCCTGCGGCTGGAGGGGGGGGGGGACGGTGGCCGGTGGCCGAGACCAGCGACAGAACGGCAGCCAAAGGGGGGCGACTCTCCCAAGTGGAGAACGTCCACCGCGGAGACGGAGCGAGGAAACAGGATCGTGCGCGGGAGCACGACGGATTGTCGCAACGCATGGATTGATTGCGAGGAATGGCGACATCGCAGGGAGGCCTTTGTCCAGCAGCGGATAGGCCCTGGCCGAATGGAATGCCGCGGCGCCAATATGGGATCCACCGATGTTCATAACCGCGCGGGCAGAAGGTGCAAGTTTTTCGGGTCAGTGTTGGGGTTAGGCCCAAGCATTCGCACGCATCCTCTGGGGCACGAGGCAATTATGGTTGCGCAAATATCATCCTAGGCGGTGGAGAATTTGCGAACGACAGCTTCTGCTTTATTATCCAAAGACAAAACTGTAAGCCCGTTCTTGGACGAATCTAAAACCGGTCATTGCAAATTCTGACATCGGTCTTGAAAGCGAAAGAGGCCGATTTAACGAAGACACATTTAAACATAAATTATGTGGAGACATGGAACGGGGTTCTGCTTGCATTTGTTTTACCCAAAATGTTCCACAGCAATGCACAACGAGTGTGTACACAATGTTGCCTTTTGTGTTGAACGAAATCCCATAGTTTACATGGAGTGCTCTTGCCAATAACATCTGGCTCTGCTGATGGGACCCAGACGGTCTACAAAGCCGCGAGGCTGATGGACTAACGCACACATGTACTGTACTTGTCCCTTCTCTTATAAAGACGTATATATAACGAGCCTTGTTCCAAGGCGCTTTACAAGCAATTATAAAATTGCACCTGTGACGATAGTGGTCGAGTCGTAGAAGTGGGGTTGTTGTTAGAAGCGGTGGTGTCGTGGCATGTCTCTCTAAATTCCTTCGCATCGTACGAAACCAACCGTGCTAATTGGAGGTGCGGGAGGACACACCGAGCGGACTTCTTTGTTCTGTTTTGTTCTGTATTGGCTGTTACCCACAATGCTCAGCGGCGGAGCGAGCGGCTCACGAAGCGGAAAGGTCGCGAGTTCAAAGCCTGCACCGGAGTTGACTCGGCCCATCATCCAACGACTCCCTTGGGGGGTCGATAAAAATAGCACCACTTTGTCTCATAGACAGCCACACGCCCTGCCACGGGCCCGTGGAATGTATATGTTGTGTTGTAGGTAGGAGAGAGAAGGTGTGGTGGAGGAGCGTGACGCCGATGCCAAGAGCACCGCTGAGATGTTCAACAAAGAGGGGGGGGGGCACCACATTGCAAGGAAGTCTCAATGTGGTGCCCCATGGTTGCGACTCAACCCCTCCACAAGAACGTTGAATTATCAGCGCCGGCCTGTGCAGGGCCGTAAACCAGGGGCAGCCCGTCTACCTGTGAGCGGCTAACTGTGGCAGGCGCGTTGCGGGATCACGGCTGAGCTTGCGGGCTTAATTGTACAAACCACAGTTTATTGTGGTCTTAATGAGGTTTCTTTCTAGATTTGAAGTTTTCGTGACTGCAATGATCCATACTCGTTGGTTCTTTCGGTAAAGTCACGTAGGTGAAAAATAAAATTAAAAATTAAAATAAATGAAAGTAAATTAAATCATGACGTTTCGATTGCAACACGAGCAATCATCATCAGGTGTGACAAGCACAGCAAATGAGGTTTCTCTAGAGAGTTGGGGGGGGGCAGGAGAGAGATTTTGTTGAGAGGTGCGTGTGTGTGTGTGTGCCCCATCATCGTAATCGTGATCATTGTAAATCGTCATCACAAATCCACTGTTTTATCCCTACCATCATCAGCAAAACACTGTCACGGTTGTTACCGTTATCATCATCATCATCAGCAGCAGCATCAGCAACACCATCCGTGGCGTCGTTATCGGTAACAACAGCGGTCGCAACATCATTATTATTATTTTTAATCAGCAACAGTAGCTGAAGACGTAGCAACAGGAGCAGCATCATCGTCAGTTTAATCAACAGCAATGGTTGTAGCGTCAGCAGTGCCATCATTAACTGCTTCATCAGCAGCAGCAGCAGAATGTTTTCTTTTTCTCGGAGCCAAAACTTAATTTAATGAATAAAGAGGGAGCCTTCCACCGCCCTAACCTCTCCATTAGAAGGCGTTTGGTTGAGCATCACTTCATTAACACCCCATTAACTCTCTCAATTACTCACGGTAACGCTGCACAAACACGCGCTCCGCAGCTCCACTATTGGGACACAACCACACGAGTGGAACTTCTCTCCCATCACTTGCTCCCTCTCTCCTATCCTCCCTCACCACCCCCAACAATTACCCCTCACCACCCCCAACAATTACCCCTCACCACCCCCAACAACCACCCCTCACCACCCCGAACAATTACCCCTCACCACCCCGAACAACCACCCCTCACCACCCCGAACAACCACCCCGAACAACCACCCCTCACCACCCCGAACAATTACCCATCACCACCCCGAACAACCACCCCTCACCAACCCAACAACCACCCCTCACCACCCCGAACAACCACCCCTCACCACCCCGAACAACCACCCCTCACCACCCCCAACAACCACCCCTCACCACCCCGAACAACCACCCCTCACCACCCCGAACAATTACCCATTACCACCCCGAACAACCACCCCTCACCAACCCAACAACCACCCCTCACCACCCCCAACAACCACCCCTCACCAACCCAACAATTACCCATCACCACCCCGAACAACCACCCCTCACCAACCCAACAACCACCCCTCACCAACCCAACAACCACCCCTCACCAACCCAACAATTACCCATCACCACCCCGAACAACCACCCCTCACCACCCCGAACAACCACCCCTCACCACCCCGAACAACCACCCCTCACCAACCCAACAATTACCCCTCACCACCCCCAACAACCACCCCTCACCACCCCGAACAACCACCCCTCACCACCCCGAACAATTACCCTTCACCACCCCCAACAACCACCCCTCACCACCCCCAATAATTACCCCTCACCACCCCTGACCACCTCAACAACCAACCCTCTCACCACACCCTCATCACCCCTTTTGCGAGAGTCAATGTCTCTCTCAATCTCACCGTGAGCTCCGTGACTCCTTGGTTCATGGACTAACGCACACATGTTCGGCACGGTTAACAATGGTTCGACTCCACGTGCTGGGGACCGTCTTCCTCTTGAGGAACTGAAACGTGTTTCGAAATCCTTTTGTGTCAATCCACTCCTCCGTGGGTCGTTGTTATTTGACCATACTTCATCACGCTGGTCAGTGCACGTTGATGTAGTCGGCACGGTGGCGGTGGGGGAGGTTCACAGGACCGTTCGGAAACCACCTGCCGCTGATGTTGCTAGCCGTGGCCTGCAGTCAAACCCGGGCGCACTGATTGTGTTTAGCGCCGTGGCGAGGTGGCGCTAACCACTGCGCCACCGCTCCCCCTGCCCCCCTTCTGAAATATACCAAACGCAAATATTTCATTTTGAGACTCATCCCGGCCGTGGGAGGTCGGCCCGCGGCAGGATATTGCTACGGCGCGCACAGAGGTCCCCCGTCTCACGCGAGGGGTCAGGGGGCGACACGGAGGATCGGGGGGTCCCGGTTCGATTCCCGCTGGGTGCGGCACGGCTCGTTTCTTACTCTCAGCCCTGTTTGTTGTTGTTGTTGTTTTGCGAGTTGCTTATTGCTATTTTAATGAACCGGCTACGGCGTCGTTCTCGGCTCCATTCACCGAGAGACGCGGCGACTGAACGCCTGCCTCCAAGGTCGGTCACCCTGATTCGCCACTCAAACGAGCATTGAGGCGGTGCGTCTCGGTTCCCGGCTTACAGCCCCTGAGCCAGAGGTGGCAATTCCACATTCCCACGGCAGGGGCGGGTCACCCCGTAGGACATCCGCCGGTGACGTCCCCACAAAGCGTCGCTCCGTTGTGTTGGACACCTCGGTAGAGGAGCCGCTTACAGGGAACTGCTCTCTCCCGGTTTTAGCCTCGCACTCCTGCACCTCTTGACCACACCCGCTATCCAACGATACACTCACGGCATGTGCATACATAGCCATACACGTACCTCTTCCTGCCTCTTTATTCTCTCCCCTCCTCTCTCCCTCTCCCCCCACCTCTTCATCCCACCTCTTCATTCCCTCCCCCGCTACCTTCCTTCTCCCTCCCTTCTCCCTTCCTTTCCCCACCTCTCTCTTCTCCTCGCTCCATCTGGGTAGTTGTCTCTCAACCACCATGCCCCCAAACCCCTCTACCACCCCACCCTCTCCTCCCCTAGCCCTCTCCCTCGCCCTCCCCCCGGGGGGTCCCGATCTCGCATCCTGCACATTGGCCAGTGACGTCTGCGCGGGGTTAACCTGGCGGCCGCACGCGCTCGCGAGTGCTCGCGTGTGCCCGCAGGGCCCATTGTTCGGTGGAAGCAGCTGGCACGTGGGCTGGGCGCGGCCTCCCTCTGTCCTGGTGTGTGTGTGGTGTGTGTGTGTGTGGTGTGTGTGTGTGTGGGGTGTGTGTGTGGGGTGTGGTGTGTGTGTGGGGTGTGTGTGTGTGGTGTGAGTGTGGTGTGTCTGTACGTGAGTGTGTGCGTGTGTGGTGTGTGTGTGAGTCTGTGTGTGGTGTGTCTGTACGTGAGTGTGTGTGTGAGTGTGTGTGTGGTGTGTGTGTGTGTGGTGTGTCTGTACGTGAGCGTGTGGTGTGTGTCAGCGTGTGTGTGTGTGGTGTGTCTGTACGTGAGTGTGTGTGTGAGTGTATGTGTGGTGTGTGTGTGTGTGGTGTGTGTGTGTGGAGTGTCTGTACGTGAGTGTGTGGGGGGGGGGGGGGGTGCGAGGCACTCTGCGTTTGTGTCGCACCACGAGCGGGTGGGAATGTGTCGCACTGGTGGCGCAATTCTCGGAGTCGCACGAAACGCGTCGAACGGTTTACCAAAAACACAACGGAACAAGTCTCCGTCAAAAACACACTGCGGCCTTAAAAATGATTAAAATATACAATGGGCGACGTTTCGGGCAAACGGCCCTTCTTCACAGCACAGAGAGAGAGACCAGGCAGGCAGAATGATCATCTGAAACGTCACCTGTCATGCACCTATTTCCCTATTTAGGGCCCACGCTGTTAGTGACGACAAGTGTGGTCGGGTTTGTTTGCATTCAACGCGCAGCAACAGCAGCAGCAGCGTCGCCAATGACCGTGTCAAACACGTGAAAAACCCGCACCCTTCACAACAATTCTTCCCGTGTGCACGAATGTGCGCGGCGTGTAATCCACCCTTGGCAGCCAGTGCAGCGGGTCATCGCGAATGGTCGGTGTGACGTGGTCGTATTGTGTCGCCCCTTTTAGGCTCCGTCAGACGCGCGGCCGTTGGTATTCCACCTCCAGAGGTCGCAAACGGGTTTTGATTCCTTACCCGTACCCGGCCGCACCAGGGTCGCAAACGGGTACCAGTACCCGTACCCGGCCGTACCCATACCCTACCCTTACCCGGCCGGGTACGGGTAGGGTACGGGTATCGGGTACTTGATTGCGACCTCTGGGATGAAGCCATGTTGCAGGCGCGGGTGGGTTGATTCTAGGAACTTGAATTGTAAGAAGAGACAAGACGTTGGGAAATGAGTGACAAACGGTTACTCACCAGTGACTCACGGTCTACCCGTACCCGGCCAGGGTCGCAAAACGGGTACCCGTACCCGGCCGGGTATGGGTAGCCGGGTATCGGGTAGGGTACGGGTATCGGGTACCCGGTTGCGACCTCTGCCCACCCCACACCGCCCAGTGCGTGAACTCTCGCTCTCCCCCCCCCCCGTCACCTGTGCTTCGCAGGTACCTGTTCCGTAGCGGGAACATCGAGCACCCGGGCGACAAGCTGTTCAACACGAGCGTGGAGGTGCTGCCCTCCCTGGTGAGTGGCACGCGACGTGGGCCACTCCCCCACCCCCCCCCCCGTCTCGTGAGATCTCGCGGCAAAGCTAAGCAGGGTCGGGGGGGGGGGGTGCCCGCTTGACGCTGTACTTGCGACTGCCGGGGTAAACATCGGAGGGAAGCCGGGAACGGGGCCACGGAGGCCCTGGCCCAAACCGTCGGGGCGAAGCGCGAACCACTGACAAGATCGCACACGTTCAGTGTATGCTGTAGCGGCAGCAGTGGCAGCAGCAGTGACAGCAGCAGTGGCAGCAGTGACAGCAGCAGTGACGGCAGCAGTGGCAGCAGCAGCGGCAGCAGTGACAGCAGCAGTGGCAGCAGTGGCAGCAGCGGCAGCGGCGGCAGCAGCGGCAGCAGTGGCAGCAGTGGCAGCAGCGGCAGCAGTGGCAGCAGCGGCAGCAGTGGCAGCAGTGGCAGCAGCGGCAGCAGTGACAGCAGCAGTGACAGCAGTGGCAGCAGTGGCAGCAGTGGCAGCAGCGGCAGCAGTGACAGCAGCAGCGGCAGCAGTGGCAGCAGTGGCAGCAGTGGCAGCAGTGGCAGCAGCGGCAGCGGCGGCAGCGGCAGCAGAACTTCACTGGGCCCCGCACCTCAAGCCGTCATGTGGCTTTCGGGCTTGGATGCAGAGCTCGAATCCCGCTTGTGATAAAGTGACGGCGGCGAATTATTTGAATCGGTCCTATGCCTCCCATAAGTTGACTCGGCCTGGTGTGGTGTATAAGCAACAGCACTTTGGGAGACAAAGGCGGCCAGGCGTGGTGTTGGCCACCCAGCCCCTCGTGTGCCATGCCGGCCTTCATAGGTGCTCGCTAAGAGCATTTTCCCCGACAGTCTGAGAAAAACTTTCCAGGGGATATTTATCTTTGCCTACACGTCTGTATGCGATCATTTGTTCATGTGTGTGTGTGGAGCTATGCGTGCGAGTAGACTTGTCCATGTCTGTGTTTGTCCACGTTCACACAACGCACACATCTGTGTCTGTGTGTGTGTGTATTCACGGTCACACACACATGTCAGTGTCCCTGTGTCCGCGCGTCGTCAGCGTGCGTGTTTTGCGTTCGCGTCTGTGCAAGTGTGCGCGTGTCTTTGCCCCATGTGTCTCTGTGCCGACGCCGCGTAGAGTCCCGACTCGGGCAAAGAGACGCTTCAAGACACCAAGGATCGCTCGTCCAAGTACGTGCGGACGGAGGACGGCTTCTTCCGCATCGGTGAGGCAGTCGCACGCGCCTTGAATCCTGCCCGACTTCCCCGCATGGTGACGGTCTGTCCAGAGCCGACCACAATCCGCCGATTCGTCGATAACCGACGTTGACTTGAGCTGACGATTCTGGGTCGTTTTTTAATAGTTGGGGGATGTCGACTGCTATCTGATAACAATACGCTCGTTCAATCCGATACATAACCCTCTTCTCAGTGCTTGATGATAATAATGATTTAATTTTATATAGCATCGTCACTCATGTTAATTGCATTTTACAACGCTGTGCATTAATTATATATAAGGGTGTAGGGGAAGGCCTTCATTCAGAATGTATAGACAATGGCTGCTGCAGCTGATGATGATTTCATGCCAATTATTGTGATTATGGTGGTGACGACGGTGAGAATTACAATGGTGATGACATTGATGACGACGATGATGACGACGATGGTGGTGGTGGTTGTGCTCCTAATAATGTTGCTGCTATTGATGCTGACGACGATGACGACAACAACACTCACACGGTGACGATGATGACGACGACGACGACAACAACATTGACACGATGATGACGACGACGACGCTAACAATGATGACGATGATTGCGATGACGCAGGAGCGTTCGTGAATGGCGCCGCTGAGGGAGAGGTGGAGCAGGGTCTGGGCCCCATCACGGCTCTGCGTCTCTCCATCATCACCGACTCGCCCGTCTGGGTCATCCTCAGCGAGGTGCCGCCAGTAGCCCCTGGCCGATACGAGCCTCCCCGAGCTTTTTTAACACCGAGAAATAGAACACATCAGGAGTAGTAATAATGATGATTTTACATTTATAAAGCGGCGCGTTTTTTTCCCCGTAGGTCCCAATATGTCACCGCCGTGTATAGAAAGCTGAGAAATTAACGGAACCTGCAGAGGGTAAACAGCCAGAACTAGGCGGGGGGGTTTTCAAGACGGACTTAAATAACTTAAATAACTGCGATTGTCTTATTATAAATGCGATTGTCTTTTTACCTAAAGGCAAAGCGTTGCTCCAAAGCCTGGAGAGAGGCTGCACAATGGCAACAGCCACTGTCGTGCACAGCATTTGGCCGCTATGAACGTCCACTCGATGACAAGCCTCTTCGTTGAGCCATCGTTCGTGGCCAGGTCCATCCTGAAAAAAGATCTATGTAGCTCAGTGGGCCTTACCTGGTTTAATAATTAAAAACAATAGTTGAGTAGTTGAGTACTTTAGCCCGATCACTGCAGGAGCACATCAGAGCTTTGACCTCATCGTCCTTGGAAGAAGGCGATCCGAATATCTGGTGGACCTCGTGGGAGAGTAAACATGGATCAGTTGCTGCAAATATCGCGCCCTTCTCTCTCTCTCCCTCGACCCACCCACCGCTGCCCCCCCAACCCCCACCCACCCGTACTCTCGCCCACTTCCTCTCCTCTCTTATTATTAATAAATTACAATAACGGCCTTCCGGTTTTTTTTTTGCTCGAGGGATCCGATATCCCTGGCCGCCGCGGATGTTTATTCACAGCCCGCAAATTGAACTCGGGTCGCCCGGCTTTCTTCTAACGCGGCGCACTCAGCGGCCGCGTCGCCACCAATCGCACGGAGGAGCTAGGAGACTGCGGCGTTGCGTTGCGTATTGGGCGCGTTTCCCGATGCCCAACTTTAGTTGTATATATATATTTTTTGCCTTGGGGGGGGGGGGGAGGGGGGGTCCCTGCTTGTGGGAAAGCTGTCCCTTGTGTGGCGCAGGGTGATGCAGAGAGGGGGGGGGCAGTTATTGCTCTGGGTTGTTCCAATTTGGATAAAAAAAAAAATTTTTGTCGAAATCTCTCGTCGAAGCTTTTCACGCATGGTACTGATCTTCATTTGAGGCTAAGTCGACCTAGGAGGAGACCCAGGACGGTTTGAGATAATCATAGCCGGTGTTTGGCAGTGAGCGGGAATCGAACTCGGGGCGCCGCGTTCTGAGCGTGGCGCGCTAAGCACTGTGGCACCGCTCCCCATGCGTACACACACACACACGCATGCCCACACACACACACGCACATGCCCACACACACACACGCGCATGCCCACACACACACACGCGCATGCCCACACACACACACGCGCATGCCCACACACACACACACACATGCATGCCCACACACACACGCATGCCCACACACACACACATGCATGCCCACACACACGCACACGCATGCCCACACACACACACGCGCATGCCCTAAAAGACACGTGCACACAATTCCTCACACGCAACGCACCCAACTAAACGTGACATCCGAGGCGTCGACTGCAGAAGCCTGTCTGGTATTTTGATTTGCTCTGCGGGACGGGATAATTCCCTCCATAAATAAACCCGCGTCTCCAATGAGGGGGCCCCCCTGGGGATCCGGGCTGCTTTCTTTCCTCCCACCTCCTACAACCCCCCCACCTCCCCCCCTATTCCTGATGCTCCTTCCTCTCTCTCCTCCCTCCGCCGCCCCCCCCCCCCGCATCTTCCTCTTCACCCCCCCCCCCCACCACCACCCCCCCTTCTCCTGTCACGGGTTGCCCATTTCAAGCAAAAAAAAAATCCGTGCCTCGGGACGTCAAACGAAGTAGGAAACAAAATCTCGCGAGTCTCAAGGCTCGTTTGCAGGAGGGGGGTCAGGCTGCAGTGGGGACGCTTGGCTGATCCCATGGTGGGGGGGGGGGGGGGGTGGCAGAGAGTGGTGTGGGCACAGGGGAGCTGGGTGGAGCAGTGGTTCGTGCATTGCGCTTCCTAGCCGGTGACCCGAGTTTGATTCCCGGTCACGGCCGTGGGAAGGGCTTCATCCAGCAGTGGATTGACAGAGGGCGCGCAGTCCCGAACTTTCTAGTTTTCTTTAATTAGGGGGAGCCCTGCATTCATAATTGTCGATATATATGATCGATGTAGCCCAAGTCGCCCCCTTGCAAGAGAGCTAATGTTGTTTCACGAGCCTCGACGGGTTTACTTCATCGCCTGCTTCGACATAGGATGCACACGTGCAATATATCAAGTGTGCAGCGGTCGATTTCTCACCTCCCCCCCCCTCCCTTGCTCCCTTGTATCTGCCACTCCTACCACCCTCCTCACCTCCCTCCCCCCTCTCCCACCTTCATCCACCCTCGCCCCTGGCCAGATCTACATCAAGAAGGCAGCGAGGTGACGGTGACACGGAGGCCCCCTCCCCCCGCGCCTCCTCCTCCTCCGTCGTCGTCACTGCCGCGGCAGCGAAGAGGAACTGGGACTGGTGTCGAACCTCCGCCCCTCGTCTCGGCCACAACGCCCGTCCCTCCCCGAGCCGTCGAAGGCGCCTGGGAGGGGAGACGACCGCCAAGGGTGGAGAAGCGAGGAGAATCAACCTCGAGTTTTGGAGGGGGGGGGGGGGGAAGCCGAGAGGAGGAGTGGACACAATCAGAACTCCTGGATCTTGCGATTTGAGATGTTTTGGGGGATTAAAGAAAGGCCTCTTTCAGCCCCCCCCCCCCACCCCCATTGAGTTGTTTTGGGAACGCAAAAACGTTTTGTTGTTGTCTCCAAAGCTACCGGCCTCGTCTTGGGCAACTGGTGAATAAGTTATGAGAGAGGGTGACTATTTATGTTTAAATTAGTATTTTCATTTATCGACGCCGTTCATGCCGTGTGGTGGCATGGGGGTGTGGTGGTGGGTGTTTAGCGGTGGGGGGTGAGATGATACAGATCCGTCGAGCGAGATCGAGCCTTGTGCTCGGGGTACACGCCGTGGAGAATCGCAGTGTGTGCTGAAGAAGTGGGGGTGTGTGTCTAAGGATCAATGTCTCTCTTTCAATTCGTAAATGAACCTTATGGCGAGACCCCCGGGGTCCACGAATAAATTGAAGTCAAAATCTTAATCAGTTAATTAATTGATTTTTGGCGACTCCGTCCCACCGCGCGCATGAACGCCGCGACCCACCTGGCGCGGATCATTCTGTTGTGATGTCCAAGTGCGACGAATGCGCAGAAGAGCTGAACAAGCGAATGCACTCCACGCTCGGGTACGGGCAGGATCATAAGTCTTATCCAAAGCTGCTCAACCTGCCTACACGACTAAAGTAATTTATTTGTCATAACGGGATGCATAATACAGTGAAACTGCTCTCTTATCTACATTATTTGTGACGTACCAATGTCTGCAGCCAGGATCAATCGATGACAATCCTATTACCTGCAGATATTTAACAGATGAGATGCGTTGCACCGTTAATTCCTTCTGTTTGATAATACTTCTCTTGTCCGTATGCATCTGTGCAGATAGGTTTTTTTTGCGGTTAAGCCATAGTCCCCACATACCGCTCGTATCAATGCGGATAAGAGGAGCGGCGACCCACTACTCTGTAGAGTAACATTGGTGTGAACGCTTGTGACAATATGAACAGCGCATTGAAAACGCGTACTATTGTATGTACTGTTTACAAAGTGTGTTCACAAATCCACACTGAGAAGAAACACGATGATTGACAGAGGGGTGTAAATTATTTTTTCGATAGTGGATTTAAATAGAGGGACTGCAGGTAAGTAGTTTTCCGTTTTAAAGGCATAGTTTAACAAGACAAAACTTGCCACCATCCTTCAAACCCATTGGTGAAAAAGAGCAACGTTTTTGTTGACATAATAATATAATGTTTATATTATATAATGTTTATATTATATAATGTTTACATTATATAATATTTACATAATATAATGTTTACATTATAATATAATGTTTATGCGAGACTCGGGGGCTAATGGTCCCGCCATAAGGTTCATAGAACCAGTGCTTAATTCCTCAATCCATACTTTCCGGAACGCTGTTTTAGGCTGGCTTGAGAGTAGGGATTACCGACATAAGGCACTACAACTGCAGTACAAGGTACGCCTATCCGGTATAACCCTATATTATTGCACCTTTCCGATAATCCCACGAAAAAAGGTCTATACGAATTAGGACAAAGTACGGCGTTGTGAGATGGATGCGGCGCGTGCCAAAATAATTTCCGGAACGGTGTTCCCGACCAGTCTTGCTCTGCTGAAATTATGCATCGTATGTGTGTGTGCGTGCGTGTGTGTGTGCGTGCGTGCGTGCGTGTGTGTGTGCGCGCATCTGTGCGTGTGCGTGCGTGTCGTTGCATGCAATGGATTTGGCACGACGCAGTGCATCCGCCAGATTCTCCCAAAGCGAGGCGGTCGGCAACCAAACATAACGAGAAGATAACAAAAAAAATTCGAATTGTGTAACAAACCAACCCCCACCCCCCACAATTTCTAGAGCCGCCAATGCACTGCGGTGAATAGAGGCGGTCCTTGATATACAACGTCCAACCATCCTTGTTGTAACCCCTATGTTAAGAACGGCACACGCACAACAGTTTGTAATGCGGCACATCTTCACTGCAGGATGCTCGCAAACGTTTTCCGTATTCTGTATCCGCACACTTTACGCGTGTGTGTGTGTGTGTTTGGACCACAATCTTCCTGACCGTCTCACTCCCGAACGCTCTCTCTCTCTCTCTGGAGGACGTTACATGCCACCCGCTTCCACCTGTCAGATACAGTAAGCATACAGAGACACCAATTGTATTGTTGCAAAGAAATACACTGTTTAATGTGAGGTTAATATCAATGAAACGGGATATTTATATTTAGAATCTTAAGTAAAAGCGGACTGATAAACGAAACGAAGGAGCTAATTTGAAGTATAGGAATACGTTTCAGACTTGTCAATATTTTCTAGCAAATGCACAGCTAAAGTGAGTTCGCATCAATGACACGGGATGTTTAATTACGTAAAAGCATGTTAAGTTATCTCGTAAAAAAACGTGTTCAACTTTTTTTTTACGTTCGGAGCGTTAGGCTGTCGTTTAGCATTTTCGAGCGGGACTGTAGACATTCATGGTTTCGGTTTTGCTTCTCAGTTAGACTTTTTTTTTATGAAATCCATATTTGATAAACGCGCACGTACGTTTAAACTTCTTTCACACCGTACGTAGCCACACCGTGCTGATCCGGATGTGCTTGCAAAAGTCAGTAGGTTCGAAGCTGGATGGAATGCCAGACGCATATTATCTCTTCACGTTGCTAAAGGCATCCGGTAAAGAATTCCTATTTTTACGATCAATAATTTTAGTCCATTGATATTGACGGTGCCAGGGTAGATTTGTGGCTTTCTGTATTTTCGAGTTAGGTCACCAAGCCTCTGTATTAGGAACCCCCACGTGTCCTCTGCCCTGCACATCGGCAAATTCCACTCTTGTTCGGTCCACTCCTGTAAAATGCTGAAACGTTGACGAGCCGAGGTTTTCGGCATTCAAGGGGTTTCAACATTTTTCGATGTAAAGCTTTCGTGACTGCAGGGATTCATCTTCTTGGTTATTTCGGTAAAGTCACGTAGAAGGGAAATAATAAAATAATAAAATGAAACATAATAAAATACAATTCTCACGACGTTTCGGCCACAAGGCAAGCAGCCGTCCTCAGGTGAAGAACAGGTCTGTCGGAAAGACGCTATCTTTCCGACAGACCTGTTATTCACCTGTTTTATTTTTATTATTTTATTATTTCCCTTCTACGTGACTTTACCGAAAGAACCGAGAAGGGAGTTTCAACATTTTTTTACAAAAATTCTCTTTTCCTTTACAAAGCGCGGAAATCGCCTCGCAAAGGTTTTCTCGCGTTTTCAGTATCGCGGGTCCGAGGTTCTCAACGTTAAGCTCAAGAGTTGCGTTGCCTCTTTAAATCGCCCCCGTGACAGGAGACTGGACCAGAGGGAGCTGTCACCGATGTCTCTCGCAAACAACGTTAGTTTTCGCGTGTCAAACGATCGCACCTCTTCTAAAAGCAAGAGAGCGGCGTTTTCCCTCTCCCTCGTAGCTTTCCGTTAAGGCCAATTTTTGAATGCGAGGTGATGTCCACCCACCGCGCAGTGACATTTCCGTAGCCGCGGTAGGATCCGATTAGCATGGTCGACTACGTACGGCGCAAAGGAAGTTCTACACACACACACATCAGCTCGGCGTATTCACAAGACATTCGTTTATTTCAGACAGGCCACATAACGCGCAAGCACGTTTCCACTGGAAAGCCACCTTTATCCTGTTTCGCTGGAGAAGGTTGGAATATCGACGGCTGAGCCGCTTCAAGAAGTGTGCAGGACTGCTGCTGGTTCGAGCCTTTGCCATTCATTTGATCGTAGATCTGTATTAACCAGGGGTCATCACGACACCCGTAATCTCAGATGGTTGGAAACGTTGTGCACGGAGTGCTTGTTTTGTGCTTGTTTTGTGTTTGTTTTGAAGCCATTCCAACCCCGCTTTAATTATGCCAATTTTTTTTCTTCACATTTTACTAGATTGAAAATGCGCGGTGTCTTTGGCAGAGCAAACGCCGCAATGCCTCCCCTTTGAAATAATCGAGACTTTATTGGCAACATGGTCAAAACACGGAGACTTCCGATTTAAGCACGGTTGGTGGCGACGAAGGAAGTTCAGCATACTAAAGTATAAATAGAAACACACATACGTACATATTTCAGGGGAGGGGGGGGGGAATAATTCAACGTTTAAAAAAATATTATATCGTTTGCCGTTGCGATACGAGTTGTTCTTTGAGCCGTTTATCGAAAATTGATTACGAGGGTTTTTTTTATTTTGCTCTGCGACTATTGCGTCGGGGAGCACAAACCGAATCCGACTGCTGCTCCAAAAAGTAAAAAAAAACACAATCAATACTGCATCTGTATCGTTTACATCCCCTGAGGGTTTAGTAGTCAAAGACACTGGAAACGGGGTTTTAGGCATTGGATTTAAATGTTAAGAGCGTTTCTGGAAGTGTGTGTTTTTTTCTTCTTCTTCTCAGAAGGAATCTGTTGTGTATATATATATTTTGCTGGACAAAGGTGGGAGCTGGTTGATTGACCAAGAAATACACTTTATATTACGATGACTGTAAAAGCCGTTTGGTTGATTTGCGCGCGCTTAGGCGTTTTAAACGAGGAACGGTGGCGGTGCTGCGGATGGGGGGGCATCGTTGGATCTTGTTTTTGTAAAAGCGCGTTTCAGAACTTGTCTCACTGGCAGCCTCGAAACTCACCCCTCCCCCCGCCCCCCTTCCCCCACCTGAAAGTGGCTTCACTGCTCGCGGTCGATGCTCACCCCCCCAACCCACACGCAGGGCCGCTCGGGCGAGCTACGGATTGAAGCAATCATTTGGTGATGCTCTTACTGCTGCTGCTGTTGCTACTGCTGCTGCGTCGGCAGCGGTGCGCGCAGTGTCACGAGCGCAGCGTCGCTGACATCGCAGGCCCAAGACTGGAGGAGGACATGTGCACGCTACTGGCCCCTGCCTGACGATGCTGGTTGTGACTTCCCAGCGGAAAAACGTCCACAGCCTCCAATTGGTTAACTCGCTTGTGGATTCGCTCTCCAAACAACAACAACCGCAATCGGTGTGGAGTGCTGAAGCGGTAATAATAAATAGGCGCGTTCGTGCGCAAACCACTGCGCCACCACTCCTCCAACCTTTCAATCTAATTCCAATTAAAAAATCTATCGCTTTCCTAATTAACGCATATCGCTTGTGTCTCGCTTACGTCGAATGGCTTCTTGCTCGGCCTTGATAATTAGCCCCCCACACCCTCAATCTACTGAGGGTGTTGGCAGTCGGTATGCGGCGCATTGCTCGTCTCGATTACAAGTTTCCCTCGCTCTCTGTGGGTTCGGTTGGCGAGATTTTGCGCTGTATATGCAGCGAACTTTTTCTATCCATAATTCGCTCCGTGCTTTTTGAATTCACTCTACACGCTGCTGTGCGGTCGGACGTGGGACAACATTGTGTGTGTGTACTGTGTGTGTGTACCTTGTGTGTGTATACTGTGTGTGTACTGCTTGCGCGACACGGCAGGCAGCGGTCTCCTCGTGCGGTGTCGCTTTGTGAGCCCCCCCCCCCCTTTTTAACGCATCTACTACTACCGACACAGAGCGAGGGAAACATGTGCAAGTGGACTGTTCAAAACCAAATGACGTGGATCATTAGCTTATTCCCATCACGATGCACGCATCCAATCGTCGTGCGCGTGACAGCCGAGCGTTAACGTTCGATGCAAAATTTATCTATAAATGTTCTTAGCCAAAGGCCAGTGGAACAAACGGCACTGAAACATGGGAGCTATTCGGTCTTAGAAATGAGACGGAACACACAGACGAGACATTTTCAACGAGACAATATATGACGAGACAGCACAGTACACACGAGACGGACCAATATGAGTTGACCGATAATACAAACGAGATAATAAATCGTACACGGTAAGTTCTCGCTTAACGTGTGCTCACACAACGCGTTTTTCGCTATAACGCGGTTCTTCCATCGGGGAACACTTTTCACACAACGTAGAACGAGGCCGTTATAATGCGGAATACGCACCACCCCCGTTATAACGCAGAACGCGCCCGTTATAACGCGGTATCTGAGCAAATTACTTGAGCTGCACGGCTGACCGGAGCGATACAGTACGCGGAACGATAAAGTAACGCAGCAGCGCCTATATAGTATCTCGCCAAACTTTATCGTTGCGTTATTTATGGGAAAAAATGTTTTCGCTTCAGCGCGATTTTCACCTACCGCAGGCCCCTTTTCAGGCACGCATCTAACGCGTTAAACGAGGGCTCGCCGTAACGTCCATGAGTGAATCTAACCCTGCTCCCAAAGTGACCCCCAATTCATCGACTCTCTTCTTCATTTTGTCGCGAGGCCTTCGTGCCTCCTGCACGGCAGTAAGGCCACGTTTTGAGGGTCTGTGAACGAGTTTCCGTAGTCTAAGGCGAGGATTATACGATGCACTTCCCACACCCACCCTGCCCCCCTCGCCTCCAGTTTATTTTAAAGCGATAGAAAAAAATATGAAGACGCGTGCTTATAATCGGTAAGGTGCGCGTGGTCGAGTGACATGAGTGAGTGTGTTTGAGACCAGGTGTTGTTGAGCTTTATCGATGCCGGGCACAAATTTTGTTTGGAAGTGATGGGGGCCGTCTTACGTTCCGCAAGCGACTTTTTGTTTAAATCTGGAGAATAATGTGGATAGAAGGTTGCAGGAGCCTTCGGTGTCGGCAATGCTGGAACGCCACGTGAAGTCGCTTGCTTTTTGAAGTGAATGACTTTGTGGGGGGGGGGGGGGGGGGGGGCAGGTTACGTGGAATCTCGCCCTAACTAACGTTATTGTCAATGGTAGGTCATGCTAATGCCGTTGATGTTGTTGTTATTTACGCCATTCGCCAAAACAAGGAACGACGAAATGCACTTTAGAATATATGCAAACGCTGCTCGCGATGCCGATGAGAAGAAGCGATGGATATCGTACGACGACTCGTTTCAGGAGTGAATGACGTGACGATTGATTCACAGTCGACATCCAGTCACGGCTGCACAACGTTTCCCCCAACCCTCCCCGGTATAGCCATACAGAGACCCTTTGGGGGCCAATCGCTGTTAGCGAGCGCCTATTAAACAGCAACAAAAATGACTTTGCACGACGGGTTTCGTGTGGCCAGCACCACGGACGCAAGCGCATTGCCCGGGCCGCCTTTGTCTCCCCACCCCACGCTACCGACGTTTCAGCGGACCCTGCCGCGCCAGGACCAGGACTATGTTCGGATATCGCCACTGATGTTCGCCGCTGTCGCCAGAATCGGCGTCGAGGGTTGGGCCGTCGGGGGATCGTAGCCCGGTGGGACACGCCAAGAGTGCAGTACAACTTTCACACTCGACCGTTGCCGACGCTTTGGGGACAAGTCGCCTGCAAACCGACCGCGGGGAAACGAGGTCACTCCGATTTGTCTCCCGATAAAAGTCGCATGCGCAATCCGCGTTCAACGTTGTCGCCTTCAAACGACGAGTTGCGAGGGACCCTGTCGCAGGCAACCAAGTCGCCGGGCAACCAAGTGGCGAGCAACGATGGGAGCGAAGCTCGGATGGCGCCCCCGGGCAACTGGCATCGCGCGGACGGCAAGTGGGAGACTCAAAAGTTGAATGCGACTCGAGGGCGAATTCTGACAGCAGAGCGCGCGACAACTGTTGCCCCTCCACCCCGCCTCCTCTCCCATCCGCCAGCCCCCACGTGTAGGTTGCGTGGGCCAGATTTGAGATTTGTAAATTTGAATTGTACAAAGTTCCATGAAGAACGGCAGCCAAGCGCCTTGATGTTGCTGTAGCCCCATGGTGGCGTGGGGATGGGGGGAGTTGCCAGAACCGTCGTCAACACGACTCATCGCAGGTCGAGCCACACGAAACCCCCCCAGTGATGAACATTGAACGTTTGGTGGTGCCACGTTGCGCCGACGGTTCCCAACCACGTTCACAATGTTGGGCGGCGCGTGTAGCGCGCGAGGAATACAAACAAGAAGAACCAATATTCTAAGATTGTTGGTAAACAACGAGCGGTGTGATCATTGCGGGTCGTAGCGCACAGCAGCAACCCCCAGTAAACATGCAACCAATGTCAACCAACGGTACAACGTCAACCAACATAACCCAACGTTATCCAACGTCAACCAACGTCAACCAACGTCATCCAAAGTCAACCGACACAAACCAACGTCACCCAACGTCAACCAATGGTCCAACGTCAACCAATGTCATCCAACGTCAACCAATGTCATCCAATGTCAACCAACGGTACAACGTCAACCAACATAACCCAACGTTATCCAACGTCAACCAACGTCATCCAAAGTCAACCGACGCCAACCAACGTCATCCAACGCCAACCAATGTCATCTAACGCCAACCAACGTTTCAACGTCAACCAACGTTGAACCAACGTTGCATGTTTACTGGGAACAGCATGAATACCAAACGGCTCTTCTCTTGTCAATTACCCCCTATCCGAGGGTGTGTATCCCGGTCTGTTCCACGTGTCGTCGTTTTACGTTTAGATATTTCAACAGGAATATTATCACCTTGAGATGGGACATCTCGTTTGTCCAGGGTGTCAATTGACAATAATCGTCTTGTAATGCTTAATCGATTTGTCAATTAAAATCCTTTTTTTGTATTATTATGATGATACATGCAACATATTCCTGGGTGTTAGAATCGATTATTTTTCATATTCTTGGTTGTTTCGGTAAAGTCACGATTATTTTCCACTTTTGCGCTGAATGCGATTTGTTTGTGTGACCCTGTAGACTACCCAGTAAACATACAACGTTGTTCTAGATTTGAATCTTTCGTGACTGCAAGGATTCATACTCTTATGTTTTTTCGGTAAAGTCACGTAGGTAAAAAATAATAATAAAATAAACTAATAACGAATGTTACAATTTTCATTTATTATATTATTATTATTTTACCTACGTGACTTTACCGAAAAAAACCTAAGAGTATACAACGTTGCGTGTTTGGTTAACGTTTGATTATTGCTGGCCCAACGTTAGGTTAACGTTGGCCCAACGTTGGGTTAACGTTGGATTAATGTTGGCCCAACGTTGGGTTAACGTTAGATTATTGCTGGCCCAACGTTGGGTTAACGTTGGATTAATGTTGGCCCAACGTTGGGTTAACGTTGGATTATTGCTGGCCCAACGTTGGATTAATGTTAGCCCAACGTTGGGTTAACGTTGGCATGTTTACTGGGGTGCACCTGCAAGTCCCCCGTCGGTCCTTGTCCCCCTAGTGAACGAAGCTCACAGTTCGTGCAGGAGATCCCGTGAGACGCAGCCTTGGTGTGCGTGATTGACACCGCGAGGCGAAACCAGAGGCGGTAATTCGCTATTGTGACTCGCTTCTCCCCCCATTGAGCCCACGGTTTCATTAAGGGGTAATTTTACGGCAAACTGTGTACCCGGCAACAAGGCGCTTGCCAGGGGGAAACTAAAGTACTGCAATAATTTGACACGATGGGTTTAGAGTTCGCGATTATCCATCAAGCCAATTAACACGCAATTGCG